ATCAATGGATCTCTTGTTGGAAAAAGGAGGAACTCCATGTATGATGAGTGTGCGTGTATGCAGATCAGACTCAATTGACTGCATTGTAATTCTGGAAACCATTGAGCTAGTCTGAAGGTTGGTGATCTTTGTTGTAAGATCAGCCTGCACTAAGGTAGACAACTGTGCAAGGGCTGGGGAAATATGATTTGCATGATAGGTCTCAAAGGTGGCCTTTAGGTTGTCAGGAGTAACTGTCTCAATGTTGGCACTTGAGGAAGCACTAGCGGTGACAGGAGCATTGATAGGTGCAAACTTTCCCAATGTAGGATCAAGTCTAGCCTGTTTGAGAGGTTGTCGCACCATCTTGTAAGCTTTTAGGGCCTCGGGGTTCCTTCTTAGGCGAGAGGCGAGTTCAGGGTCAATATCACCCCAGTCAATGGGGTCTTCAGGGCCTTCTGATTTGATACTGACATGGGACGCTAGACCCGTAACGTCAAAAGCTATAGAAACATCACTGGTGTTGCGCTTGGCATTATGGGCAGAGAGAAGACCATCATACGTGTCTCTGGTGATTTCCTGAGTTGTATCATGAGTGACCAAATGGAATTTGCCGTGCTTAAGGGCCTGGAGACTCAGGTGGGGTCCCAGGAGGGTTTCCGCTACTAGTAATGTGCCAGTAAGTCCCGGGTCTTGAGAGATCTCGGCAGGTGTGTCAGTCGGCAAAGCTGGAGGTGCCATGTTTTCAGCAGCCGGCTCCGCGACGTCCATAGTGTAAGTGGGTTCTTACCGTAAGTTACCGTAAGTTAGAATGCAGGCAAAAGCCACTACGGCACTAACAGAATCTAATGACAAAACCAAAATGAAAAGCAGTGTCAAAGTTTTAAGGATCGAGCGTCTTCCCCGGGGCAGGGGATTGTCTGTGCTCGAGCCTCTCGAACTGTTCTACTGGTGCGAAATGTTTGTTTCCGCTTTGGGGCGTGTGATTTGCGTGTGGGGCATGGGCTGCTGCGCTCTTGCACAAGACGGCATGCTGTCCCAATTATTAGTCACCATGTGTTCCTTGACTATTTTCTACAATGCTGGAAAATGAAATGTTGAAACATTATGACTTTCCTTTGATGCGTGCACGTTCCTTGTGTTTAAAGCAGGGCAAGAATGTCAATGTTGCTGTCTTGATGTAATGAAATCCAAACAAAGGTTGCAACCCTGAAGTTCTGCTCATTTTTTGAGCCGTTCGTGTGGATTGCCTATTTCCTTGTTTCTTCGTTGTGTTATGTTGATCGGCTTCCATTTGTTTTTCCATTTGGCTGCTCCATTTTCGGTTATCATTTCTGTTAGGTTCCCTTCTTGTGCCATGGTGCACGTATAATTGGATGCTTAGCCAGCACCTTCCAGCACTGTCTCACTCTTTCAAACTCCTGTATATGCAAGGTACGCTGCCAACGTCTGTCCGATTTGCCAATCGTTTGGTGCACCTTCGTCCTCTTCGAGGGCTTCCTCCTCTTCCTCGCGGGCGATTTGGATCAGACCTGGGTTCCCAACCCACTTTGCGCACCATCCTTGACTAAGTGGGCATGTTTGCTGTACCTTTCCGGGGTCAGAGTTATAGACAACCCTTTTTGTCGCCGAGTCAGGAGTTCTCACGAGCACGCTTGCACCTGCGTAATTACAAGATCAGGTCGGATATTAGGATGGATTTCACGTTTCTATTGATGGGGCGCTTTTGTTGGAGCTCTTCGCCAGTGATAATCTTCATGAAGCAAGAATGGCAGATTTTGAGGGTCCATGTTGCCACTTTCAGATAGGAACCTTTACTGCCTTCAGCGATGAATCTCCAGCTTTCAGGAAGTCGCTTAGGATCAGCCCCTTGCGGGTACACTTGTCCCGGATGCCTGTTCTGGACATGCTGTCCCTATACTTGATTCTAAGGTGCATGCAGAATTGCTGTTGTTGTTGTTGTTGTTGTTGATTGTTAACGTAAATGTCCGTCACACCTTGTAATTTGTCAGAAGCTAAACAAATGATGGACTCTCCGTTTTCAGTTCTGGATTACAGAAGTGTGTCCCTTTCAGGTTCACGCAAGCTCCGTGATTACCGACATAATGGGCTTGATCGTTCTGTTTGCATCTGATCAAAAGCTGCGATACATGGCTCGAACTTGATGATGACGTTGATGGAATCCTTGCTGCTTCCACTTTGGGGCTTGTTCAACTTTGTGTTTGGCAAATTTTGCGCGTGCGCAACAACAGCGATTTCTATGTGTTCACAAAGTTGTTTCTTTCTGTTTCCGGGTCTTTCGCGATGATCATTTCCTCAGGCTCAAGACCCCCCAAACACGGACGATCGGCTGTTATGGGGTGAAGCGAGAAGCCAAGAAACATGGTGTTTTGTTGCCAAACCCTGCCTCCCTCCAGGGACTCCCCAAGTCTCCTAGGCTTTGCACTATCATCTCCACCGACTAGCTGGGAAGCATCGTCATCTTTTCAAAGAATGCTGGAAGTCTTATTACAACATCTTCTGCAACGTGCTCAAGGACAGAGCGGTTTTTGGGAGCATGGGTAGCACTTGTTTCTCTTAGCCCGAGCCCAGCCGCCCGGACAGATGCACACTGGCGATTGCAATACAGGAAACAGGAAACCCTTTGCCGGCCTTTGGCCCCACAGCCAGATGCGCGGGCACTGCCAAAGCTTTCAGAGCATCCTTGACAGGAACCTCATTCCACACAGGCTTCTCAGCCTGCTCTTCACTCCTTGGGCCCGCATCACAGCAAGTCAGCAGAGTGTAAAGCCGCCTAATCTGACAGTCAAGCCTCACCGGATCCTGCTGTCCACTCGCAGCTTCTCTCTGGATGGCCTCCTGGGCAATAAGCTTCAGAAGATGCAACGCAATACGAGCAGAAAAGGTTGTTGGCCTCTTCAGCCGGCAGCAAGCCCGAGTCGCTGAAGCAGTCACCCTACAAGCATTTCAAGGCGTTGGCAAAAGAAACCTTCGTAAATCTCGCAGCCTTCTGTTGCGTTGCATTCCAACATTTCTTGGAAATCACAAAAAGGCAAACAAATCGAAAGCCCTTGTTGGATGATGTCCCGAAAGCCCAGACCTCGTCGGTGAGAATATCAGCTTCAAAAGGGCGCTTTTCAAGTTGCCTGTCAAATATTGCACAGTGCGGCAAAGAGCTGGCCCTCGAGAACGCCTCAGGTGCCTTAGCCGCTCAGCGGCCTCTGGGCCTGTCAGCCCGGAAAGGAGCTCCTGCCTACACAGCAACACTGCGATCAGGAATGCAAATTCTGATGAAGCGGCTCCCAACCTCAGGGCATCCAGGTCTGCCCGGTACAGCACCGCCAACGGCGGACTGGCCGCAGCCACAAGAAGACCGTGGCCTCCTGAATAGCAAAGGGCATTTTCTGCGTGGAGTTGAAAGCTGTAAAACCCAACCTCCTTTACCCTGGTCAGCTGCAGCCTCATTGCCGCATGCCGGAGCCAAGTTCTCATGAAACATCAGCGCCTGAGCAAACCCAAGTTGCAGGTTCCCAGGATACCATTAAGTTGCTTTTTGTTTTGTTTGATTGCTTCTGGCAACTCTCACAATCAGTCCTTGTGGCTGATGTTCAGCGGGAGCTCTTGCGCGACTATGCCCTGCCATGTACTACCATGTCATGCCCGTGCCAACCCCTGGGCCTGATATCAATTCTCACAGGTGCCGGAAGTCTGTCTTTAGAACTAGCGGTCCACTCCTTCAACTGGAGCCCTGTAGCCACATCTGCAAAGAAGAGAAGAACCGATGAATAATCCTTTCTTGATGGCTATCGCTGATAGGGCCACAAAAGGAAACCACTAAATATCAGCATGCGCAGCTCTGGGACTTGAGAAACTGCCTCTGAGCCGACTCTCTGTGTAGCTGCAAGTAGCACACGAGCATGTTGCCGCAGCGCATGGAAGCGCGGATTCACCATCTGCTCTCCATCCTCAAGCTGCCAGGTTGGACGTGCGTTCTGCGATGTTCCGTGACTTGCCACACCTCTAGAGAAAAGAAGGAGCTTGCTTGCCCAGATTCAAGCAACACCGGAACTGTGGGAAGGCCATCCCGCAAAGAACGGCGGTGTGCTGCCTGAGTGTCAGGCCATGAAATGGCGGGGCGGGCTTGAGGCAACAACACCGACCAAGGTGCAGGCCGTGTAAAAGGCGTTGCAGATCGCTAGAAAATGCCTTGAAAATTGCACACACTATATGTAGCGGAGCCTGGAGGAAGGGCCGCAAAGCTACAAATGCTGCGGGACAAGATGCCCAGGCGGATGCAGCGCGGCCGTGTCGCAAGCCTGGCAACTGAACCCAGCAGGCTAGAAGAATGTACAGCAGATGCGAGTCCTGCGAGATGCCCTGGTCTAGCAATTGTTGGGTGTACTCCTTGGCTCAAACGGTCTTCTGGCACATGCAGCTCTCCGTGGGGACATGCTGAAGTGCTGTGAAGAATCGTGGCCAGGGAAGAGCCACGTCTTGTGGCTTGGATCACACATCTCCTGCGAGAGATGAGATAACATCATTTGAATAGTTACGAATAGAAGCTCAGCAAAGCCGGCTCTGGGTGTCCAGGATGCTGGCGAAGCAGTGCTCCATGTCCAACTCGCTGCCCTCGAAGTTAGCACCACAACCACCGGAGAAGAGCGTGTCCCCCGTGAAAAAGGCATCGAGCCCTTGGTGGAAGAGGAAGCCCAGTGCTGTTTAGAATTCCATGCTAAAGGGAGAGTCGCAACAACTGCATTGCAAAGTCGGAGAAAGCCAACTCGAGCAGGTCTCGCTCACCGTCTACCAGATCGCCCGAACTTTCGGCCTACAACTGACACAAAAGGGATCGCAGTTAGACTTCCCATCAACTCTGCGCCTTGCACGGCAAACGGAACATCACACTTCCCTGCGTGTGACCGGGGGCAGCAATGGCCTTGCACCGATTGGACGGACAATTCTTTGACTGAAAAAGACACTGCATCCAAATCTTTCCGCCTGGAAACTGAGATTGGAAATCTGGATCTCATCCAGATGTTGCACCTGTCCCCAGACTCAAAAGTGATTGGACAACAGTGCACGTGGAAGCTTGCAAACTCGTAGTGGGCAAAGGCACAGGGTGCGTGCAGCCTGGGACGTCATCCTCCAAGCCTGGACGACATGTCCAATCCCAACGTAGCTTGTGGACAGTCAAGGCTGCGCCTCCAAACACTCTCAGTGTCTGGGCAAAATGGAGCAGCTGCACGGCAGTGACATCTTGGGACTCAGACTCTGTGGCAGAATCCTCAGGCTCTCACGCTTGCTGTCTTCTAGGAAGGATCCCCCGATGTACGTGCTCACCCGCAGATGTTGCCTGCAGAGCTGCAGCTTCCTGTTTGGCACTCGACGCTCGCGCAACGAGCTCCTCGTTCCCACCTCAGTCATGGTGCTTCACTGGCGTTGTCAGTAGCCTCAAGAAACCCAAGGGCCGAACCAGAATGGTCCCAGTGCTTATGGGTGCACAGAACCTTTGGCTGCGTAGCATCAGCATTGCATCAGCCAGCACATCCGTGAATGCTTACTGGCAGGCATAAACGCAAGGGAGTGACGGCTTCCAACCGCAGACCACCGAAGGACGCGTAGAAATCCTCGGCTATGTGCTCCAAAGCCTCCTGGCAGAAAAGTGAGAAATTCAAACTGCATTTTTGAGCAAATCCTTCAGGTCCTCCACGGCAGCTGCATCGCACGGATCCACAACCGCCGCAGGCAGGCCAGGCCTGCAAGGACTGCACTGCTTTCGGAGCTTCCGGAAAGAGTGTCAAGATGGCACAGTGCGAATGTAAAGGAGCCTCGAGTTTTGAGCGCCCTCTGCCCGACTTCCCTGGCCGCCAAGAGACAGCACCGCAGCCAGACCAAGTGATTCCCAGGACTTGCCAGCATACCTCGTCATAGACGATGACGTAGCAGAAATTGTCAGAGAGGCATGGAACTGCATGCACATAGCAAACCTCAGGTGTGATGTCGGAATAACCGAAAGAGTGCTTTAGATAAAGCATGGGTTTCGAAGCAAGCCCAGTAAGTGCGACAAGGCTTCTCCACCACCTGTGGGATAAAGGCGGGTGCGGATGTCAATAAAGCGGCTGTGGTACGGCCGCCTGACAGGAAAGAACTGTCAACTGACTCTGATGCGCAGTACGCCACGCATTCGATGTCATGTGGAAGCCGCACCCACCTTGCAAACTTCCTCTGAAGCATTCGGGAAAGATTCACGTGCAGCTTGCATATCCTGCATCTTGACCAAGGCTCTGCGCAAGTACACCCGTCCCTCAAGGCACCTCAGGGTATAGGCATGCTCCACGACGTAGCCGAAGCAACTGGCGACTGCTTGTAGTAGCACTTGAAGCAAGCGCCTGTCGTCACGTGGCCACATAACCCGCCCAAAGCTCGAACGCTGCGTGCTCCTCGCCTGGGGAGGTTGAACACCAGAAGCATCAAGCTCAGGACCAGCATGGAAATCCTCAGGCATGCAAGACCATATCCTCGCCCAAGCTGACGAAGAGGCAAATGCTTGGATGCATAGCAACCAAGAGGCAACAAGGCGATTGCCACGACGACTCCCAGCACACGCCGCCTGGGAACAAGATATTGCAAGCAATGGATGCCCTGGCTATTGGTGATAGATTTCGAGACATACAAGCACATGTCCCACTGATGTGAAATCTTCCCAACGCCAGCGTCCGCAGAAGATGATGTGTATTTTCACCGAATGATGTGTGTTAACCCTGGCGCAAGGAGTACTATGACTACTACTGCTACCACCACCACCACCACCACCACCACCACCACCACCACCACCACCACCACCACCACCACCGGCACCGGCACCGGCACCGGCACTGGCACCGGCACCGGCACCGCCACCCCCACCGCCACCATCACGTTTTTTCATAACAGGTAGCCGCCATACTGGATGGCGGTATGAATTAGTCGGGGCACACGCTCAAGCTGCATCGCCCTGGTCGTGACCTGCACAGCTGCCAGTTTGAGCACATTGAAAGCTTTATGCAAAGAAACTGATGGTTGTTGCATATCAACTGATCGCAACCTGACTCTTGCACAATAGAGTTCGTAGTTGAACCTGGGGCATGCTCTGAAGCCTGTGTGCGCCACACTGCGCCACTGCAGCTCAAAGCCCAGATCCACTTTCACACCTGCGAGAACACCTTCACCCTGCCAGAGCTGGCCTGTTGGGAAGCCACGGAGCGATGGGCCGGAGCCGCGGCCTTATCTGCTGTCGCGCTTGAGTGTCTTCGGCCGAAAGATCACTGCATGCAAACTGCATGATATCTGATTTGCTGCAGGCATCGCTGGCCCTTAGGCTTGCACTCCGTCATCCTGGCCGTCTGCCAACCTGGCATCCCAGGAACCCAAGAAACCCCGCCTTTTACAGTGCGCAATATGTCTCTGCCTGCAGGGTTTCTCAATACTCAACACAAACTATCAATCTGCTACATTTCCTGTAGATTTGCTCCATGCAACAGGCCATGCAAACATGTGGCATGTAAGGCTTCGGCCGAGAAGTGGCTCATGGAGGTGAGACGTTGTGCCTTGTTTTAGGTATAGTCACAGAAAATGCCCCTGAGTTTTCGTGGACTCGCCCTGTCGTTGAACAGAACTTGAGTGGTGAAAGAGGCTGGAATGAGGACGTCAAAGAGAATCTGAGCCTGAACACTTTTGCAGGCCAAACGGCTGCAGTCAGGAAGGTTGCAGCAATGCCAGAAAATGCTTGAAAGTGCTGTCTTCATCTGCACTACACTCCTCACCTGACTCTTCCCGCGGGTTCTCGACTCATCCGCACATCGCAACAGAACTTCCTGAAAACCGTTGCACCAGCGACCTTCCCTTGGCAAAAAAGGAAGCGGCCAGCCAGCAGAGCCTCATCAAACAGCAAACAGAAACCCTTGAACAATTGCTATGTGCCCAGAAGGGACTACGAAAGCTTCCGTGAGCCCGGTGACCGTTCAAAGGCAGCTACTCGTTATTGGTTTGCCATGATGTTTCTGGACTTGTGTGCAGGGAGACGCAAAGTACACAAACGCGAAAAGGATTGACTCGCCGCTTTTGTCTGCCGGTCTACAAGCGAGATGGACTGCCCTCCACCTCAGTTCGATTGCGCAGACATCAGCAGATGCTGCAGGACCCAGCTTTGGCATTGAACCCAAGTGCCAGCCGAGTGTCAATGTAGGTTGTAATGGAGTGGGAAGGTGCCTCCGTCTTCATGGCACCGAAGCCAGAAATCCTGCAAAGAATGGCAGGGCAAAGGACGCCCGCGTTTGCTGATAAGTCTTGCCAAGATGCTTCAGTGTAAATTGAATATCGCTCTCTGACTGGTTCATCACCTGGATGCAAGATGCACTTTCCCAGATACGAGTCCAGCAAAGTGCCTGGGGGAAGAGGTTTGGAATGCAAAGTGCCGTGAGGAGTCGTGAACTGAGGCCAGCAAAACGTTTTGTTCTCAATCCGTACGCCGCTCGACGAGTCCAAATCCCACTTTGGTTAGAATTCACGGAATCCATTAGAAACCTGTAAGGCCCACTCCAATAGTTTAACATGGGACAAGCCGCCACTACTGACAGCGAGCTGTCCACATTTCGCCATGCTGTGCATTCCAGAAGATCGCGGCTGGAGCTGCACAGAACTCGACGAGCGCCAGGCCGAATGTACCTCCAACAGTCTATGGTAGAATTGAAGCCGTTTTCAAGCGCAAATACGCTGGGCCTGGAAAAGTGGCCCAGGAACCAGTAAGCTGGCTGTAGCAGGACCTCGTCAGTGCCTCACATGTGGAAATAAAGCCAAGCAATAAGCGCCGAAAAGCTCAGACAAGTCGCGTGTGTCGCATATCACTGGAGCGAGGCAATAGTTGCCGGTGTGATTTGGTCCTTGGTGTTTTGAGGAATACCATTGGTGGAAGAAGGACAGACCATAAGTTTACCAGTGCAGGCAAGCAGACCACCCAGCTCATCCAGACATAAATTCCAGTCGATCCAGCCCTCGCAGCCTGCATTGAGGTCAGCGATGATGTTCATCCCGTAGCGTTCCCCGGTCTTCCAGCTGTCCAGCATGGAGTCGAGGCTGCGTCCTTCATAAGGTTTTCGTTAACATTGTCAACAAATCGGCCAATCTCTTACTGGGTACCACGAAAACTTATCGATTTCAGAGCAGATGCCGCAACATCCTCTTAGTGGGAAGGGATTGTCATTACGTGGGCAAACTATCATGAGGGGTCACCAGCTGAGTGCAGAGAGGTGGCTTGGGGTGGTCAAAAAGCTGTTTGCGGAGGCTGGCATTGAAACAAGTGCTCTCAGGGAGCTCCTCCAAGCTCTTGACAACCCTCTGTGAAGAGCAAGTGCTTGTCAGGCCTTCCAAGCTAGCCCATATGAACACACGCAAGACGCAGTAAGGCGCAGCAACATGGGCAACCACGCGCAACAGACTTGCAGCAGTCGCCTCAGCTCTGCCGTTTGCCGCACACTGTCGAGGCACAGCCGACCGCGAAGCTCTGGAAAATGCCTCGAAGAAGCTAAGCTCCATTTCGTACCGAGGAAGTTTCTCGTATATCTGGAGCTCTTGCAAGACCATTGGCGACAAGGCACATAGGGCCCTCTGCATGCTTGGAGCCAGCCAGGAAGTCCATCACCTGCTGGACCATCAAACCACCTCCACACGTCCTCAAAGCAACAAGTATACCAGCATTTGCCCGTCCATCTTTTAGCCCAGGCCCACCGCTGCCGGGAGCTTCTTGTCCGCAGCCAGGACTCGCAAAGCATCTTCGAACTTCACCTGTCATGGAAGATCCACAACATTCCACACAAAGTGACCAGCTCTCCATCCCCAGCATTGCCTCAGCACGACCCGGCCACCATTCGAAGCGAGGATCGCCGTACCTGGTGTTCAGAGAATTCGGATCTCGAATCTAGAAACCGAGTCTTTCAACAGGGCTCCGCAAGCCCCTCTAAGTCCAAGTACCAGTGATAGCCGATTCCCCAGACGTACTTGGCAGTGTCAGGGTCACCATAGAAACAGGCTGCTCGCTGCAACATCTCATCTCTGTTGTGGTCCCAGGCAACGATCTTGAGCTCAAGCTTTGCGTTTTCTACGGCTGGGCCCAGAAAATCCCGAATAAATTCTGCTTCTTCCATTGCAGTCCACTGGCAGGATTCCCATGGAGTGGCAGCCCCTGGCTCATTCTGCACCGAGATACCCCACAGGGGAACCCCACGCGAAGACATCTCCTGCGCAAAGAGCACGTAGTGCTGTGCCCACAGGCCCTTGTATTGGGGCAGAAGCTTCCCTCCGCCATTGAATTTTCCGTTGCTCTTCATCCAAGTTGGTGGTGTCCAGGGGCTGGCAAGAATAGACATAGGTCCGGCCAGCTGGATTGCCGATCTGACCATAGGCAGAATTGCTGCTTCGTAGCGCTCAAGGCTGAAACCTCCCAAGCTCAGCTGAAGAAGACAAGCGGAGGTGTGTAAAGCGCAGCTCCAGGCCTTTCAGGGACCCATCCGACAGGTCTCCACATGTCCAGTGTCCGAGGCTGAAGTCGCAGGACCCTATGGGAATGCGCCCAAGAGAGTAGCCAAGTCCGCTGCGATCAAAGTAGGCACGGAGAATTTGCGACTGCCTGCATCTGCTTTAGGTGCCGCACTTGTTTATGCACTTGTTTGGCTGCTGTTTCGCTAGGGCCATTGTGCAAAGGTACCACTGGATGTTATCGTTCCACACAACAACTGTTCAACTGTTCAGCCAGCGGGCTTTGGTCGACTCATTCTTCGAAATGTATCTGCAGCTGCTTCCGTAAAACTGCCTCCGAACCCAAGCCATTCTCGAGGCTGGACAGCACCTGCAATGCAATACAATCACCATGTCCAGCAAAGACGCAAAGAAAAGGATAAAGAAGAACCCAAGCTGTTCAGCCGTGAACACTCCCTTGACTCGCAACAGGCTCAAAGGTTATGGCCGAAACCTGCCTGCTGCAATGCTAGCAACACTCAGCTACCATGCAGACAAAATACTAAAGCTTAGGATTGTTGACCTGCTTCTGGCTAGCGGCTAGAAGTAGAATGTGTCTATGGTCAATAAAGCACGTGCCCAGTCCTGCCTGAAATCACGAACACTGAAGCTGCGTGTGATGACTCGTCGCCATCCAAAGCCAAAGTGCAGGTGCGAACTGTTTTGAGGCGCTCACTCGTTCCCTGGCATTGGTTAAATTCCGATTCCACTTGTTTCAGCACGACTGCACAATGAAACTACATCCGAACAGATCGAAACCAGCCTTGCGGCTTCGCACGGCAGTCACCTTGACGTAGCCGACGTTTGACGGTCCGGAGAGCCGCATGCTTCCACATAACCAGAAATGCTTGAAAAAGGCTAGCTGGTCATGATCGGAATCTTCTTTGCCTCATTCATGCCGAAGAGTTACGAAAGCAAGGTAGGAAGTCGCGTCCGATTGGGCTAACAACCTCGTGTTGTCCAAATAATGTAGCTTTGTCAACTCCTGAGCAAATTTGCCTATACCTGTGCAGCGGCAACCCCTGATTACCATGCTTTCCACTTTTCTGCCACATGCTGCGATGCACATCCAGTTCTGCAAGGCTGCTTGAGCCTGATTGGCCACGTGCTCGCGCGTATGCACACGACACGACTACAAATGCAAACAGCCCAAGCTCGACATCAAGTTGTCATGGCCCGGCCAGGTCCTCTCTGAATGCTGCCAGAGCACGAAGGATCCTGCAAAAGCTGTGGAGCCTCGAAAGAAAAGGCGAATTAAGGGAGTAGACTTCTATGAAGAGATCTGGCGCTCATGCAGCTCTGGGCCTCGTTGAAGGCGAGGCCGAACCAGCAGCACATCAGCACATCCATCTATGAGCTACCCGCGACCCTTCGTCCCTTCCTTTTCAGCTGCCATGTCTTTCCAACCTGTAACGAGGTGCTCGTCGACACTTGTCTGAAAGGGTGAAAGGCATGATTTTGACTCTTCTCAAAAACCAACTACTGCACGATCCTGGTCCCGGCTTGTTGTTGTCCATTTGATTCATGTTGAGCGGATGCTCAGTCTATGCACGCAAGTTGCAAAGCATGACAATCAGGGCTGGCGGGTGCATGTGGTCGTTGAAGTCAAAGTCGGAAACTTCAGGTCTGTCACCCGAGCACATCATCAGGTGCTACTTAGTCCAATGCTAGCGGCGGAAAAGGCACCTCCCAGTGATGCAGTTCCACCTCGTGCTTATGACGGTTTATCTCCTGGCCAACAGCTTACCACATTGTCAATTCTTAACGTCATGGATCTTTTGCTTGCATGTCAAATCTGGACACGCACAGCTATGTAAGCAATAGAACCAATAGAATTTGCGAGACAGTACAACATCACTAGCAAAGCTGCGCTTCATTAAGCACCTGTTGGCTGGCATTTGGCTCATTGGGTTTGATGCAAACGGCCTGTTTCTATGCCAAGCAAAAGAGAACAGCTCCTCCTGCGTTCGTCTCGTTTGATACTCGATGATGAGCTGGGATGCCTAGCACAATCGCAGGCTGCAGAGAAAGCTGATTCGCAATTGATATGCTGCCCAAGCTCTGCGCCTGCTCTTCCAGCTTGAGCCGCATGAGGCGCGCTGACTGCCAGGCAGGCAGAGCAAATCTCAAGCGGCATCATGTAGCTTCAATTGCCTCGTGAAGCTGTGCGAGGGACTTCTGGAAGTCCTGCTCTGCAGCAATCTCCTGGAAATTCTGCGTCACACATCTTCATTTTCAGCTCAGGTTCTGATGGCTTTGCTCAAAGTTTCACATTGCGCGTGCAACACGAACCCGTGACAAGTTTTTCGCTATCCTGGGCGCGCAAATGCTGATCCCATCGTCCCGCCAAGACCTTCACAAAGGACGGACATTGTCCGATGCATTCACCATCTTATGATGTGGACGAGCGCCTCTTTGGCCTGCGCAGCTTGTGCCCTCAGAAACTCCTTCTCCCTCTTGGTCTGCTCCTTCATGGAATGCACAGGACAGGTTGAATTGTGGCGATGCATAGCAGGGCGCAAGCTTGGTCTGGCTCCTCCAGCAAAATCTGCGCTTGCTGCAGCTGCTCATCGACTTCCTTGTAGTTCTGCTCCTGACCGTCATTTAAAGCGCAGACTCATCCAGCAATGACTGAGGGGTCAGGCACCTTCTGAGCATTGACGACATCCGGCGGTGGCAAATGCCGAGTCAGGCTGGCCTTGGATCATTCACAGGAGCCCTCTCTTTTTTTTTGCAGCCATCTCATTGGGGTTATAATAGGGGATAATGGAAAAGAAAATGGAAACTACTGTAGTATATAGGGATCATATTGGGAGAATGGTCTCTCTTGCAGGCGCCTCGTGAAGCGAGAAACTTCTTGATCTCATACTGCCGCAGAGCAGGTAAGCATGAGCTCGTGCACGAATTAGGGTTGAAACTCTCCTTTGGAGACTCAAGCACATTAACAACTTCACAGCCAGATGGGCTGTACCGTCTGAAATGATGAGTCAACACAGCAGCTGAGGCCAATAACACCCCAACACCTTCCTCGAGACTGTTGCGCTGCTCTACCTTTTGATCTATGATTGGTAAGCTTTATTTGCTCAGCAACTTCTGCAAAGGGGCAAACGGCAAATGAGCTTACATTGAATGCATCAGTATCGAACAGAACAGATTCCAGGATGTCAGCAACAATTGGCAGCATAAGGCATGTAAGTCAACCATGCCGAGGCTGGGCTCAGGCAGCTCAGATCAGTGTGAGGACATGATGCTGTCCTTCAACCTTGGCCAAAGTTGGCTGGAAGCGCTGCTTCTTGCAAGCAGGCCAGCATAGCTGTCAACAAGATATGCCACGGCTTCAGCAACAGAAAGCTAAAGCGTGAAATGGTGCTGCCTGGAAACTTTCCTGAGATGTTCAAGTCCTCGTCGCACCAGTCGGCCGGCACTCCCACGGTCTCCAAGTCCTGTGCCATCATATCAGGGAAGTGAATCTTTGTGTCTTCAACGTGAGAGATGCAAAGCTGCAAATGAAGTCAGAAAGGTCGAGCTTGAAGAGTCACGTTCTCAGGTACGCGAGATCCTTCCACCCCAGAACTTACCCTAAGTATGTACTGTGCTGCCCTGCCTTCAGCCCAAGTCTGCGGCGGATCTCGTCGATTATGATCCGCGAATCTGTCCTGTGCGAGGCGTTGCAGTAGAAAGCTCAGACAACCCTACATCTTTGGAGAAAAGAAATTGTCATTTCTTCATGGCTCTGCCCAGCTCTACCCCTTCGTAATGGAAGCAAAAACAATTATGTCGTGCAAATGAGTGTGCCGAAAACATCATCTTAACATCACGCATCTTGGATCGCGCAGGGAGAAAGTGGCAGTTCTGAGTCTTAACTATGCTCAGCTTTACTGAGCAGGCTGGAACCTTAGATGTCTGCTACAGCATGATAGCATAACATTGCACCGTGCTCAAGGCTTCCACTTGGCTTTGCCTCGCTAGCCGCTGCAGCGTTTCAGAGCTCAGCTTTGAAGCCGTACGGTGGCCTTACAAGACAGACACTAGCAGCACTAGCAAGCCCCTTGGCATGCCCAAGGCCACGACTTGGTGAGGGTTCTGCATCCTGCGGGATGGAGAATGTGCCAACCCTCTTCAGGAAAGGTGGCTGGTCAGACCGCGGACAGAAACGTTACACGAGACTTGAGACCACAGACTACTTTATTCAGAGCTGAACCTCAACATGCCGCATAACGTGCATGCACTGAGCAAAATGTGCAACGGCACTTTTTGATGCAGGTGGGAAACGCCGTATCGGCGGGGGGTTCGCAGACGCCCCAAAATCCCGGGACCGGAGGGGCGCATCTCCCCGTCCGGCGCCCTTTCCGCATCGCGCCGGCACCGGAAAAGGAGGGAAATTCAAGGTCGCCCAGGTCAGAGCCCGCCCGGTGGACCACGTACTCCAGGTCGTCCGCGGCCCAGGCGAAGATGTCGAGGATGGCGTCCAATTTGGTGTTCGCCTGCTTCCAGCCGTGGCGAATCGCCAGGGTGCAGTCCGCCCTGGAGATTGGGTCGGCGATGTTGGCCTCAGAGGTGACCCTGAAAAGGGTGGGTCGCCAAGATTGGAGGGACGCCATTGACCAAAAGGCGGAAAGGAATCCGTTGACGGAGCTGTCGCGGCCATAGCCCTTGTTGAGCGCCCACTGCCCGGCGGCGTTGTCGATGAACGCCACCCAGTCCTCCGGGAGGTGGTCGGAAAGGGTGACGACTGCGAGGATCTGGGCAAGCACCTCGAGCATGTAGATGTTAGCCCTGCGGGTGTCGAACTTCCTGATGAACCAGTCCGGGATGGAACCGGAATCATACCAGGTCGTGTCGCCGATCCGCACGACATAGCCCCAACCGTTTGACGCCCGCTGGGAGCGTGACATCGGGGCGTTGGCTGGCACCCACCCAGCTTTGTGTCGAAGGTTTTTTTTTCAGGAAGAAGGCGTATGCATAGAGAACGCAGCTTACCGCCCTAAGGGCGGTGAATGGTATGAATCTGGGCGGCACCTGCTGAAGCAGGGCCTTTGTGGCTAGCAGCGCCTCTCTGAGCCCGGGTGTAAGATCTGTGCGATCGCCCGAGTTGGCCCTCGCCCGCGGGCGTAGATGGGCGATATGGCTGCCCTGCCGACCTTGCCGAATATGGACTGGTTGACAAAGTTCAGCTTGCCCGCCAGTCGGTGGGCGGTCTCCGACGTGAGGATGCCCTGGTCCAGGATCTGGTGGATGATCGCCAGGATTTTGGCCAGGCGTTTGCTTGTGGGCTCCAGCGTAGCGCCCTCGTCGGAGAAGGTGACCTGGACGCCCTGGATGACGCGGGTCCGCCAAGGCTCTTGGGCCTTGGACGGTTTGGCGCCGAGGCCCATGAGCTGGAAAAAGTCGCGAAGCCGTTGAAGGCCAGGTCGTCCGCGTCAATGCCGTTGAAATCGCACATAGTGGCCGCCCACGATGAACGATGAAGAGGAGGGCCCGCGTGAGGAACTGAAGGGCGTCACCCGCCCCGTTGAAGTTCCAGACGGAGGCGGCCCCGAAGCACATCGCGAAGTGGAACCACAGAGTCCAGAGTGGGCCCCGAGGCGGTGAAGTATGGCGCCGCTGTGAGACGGCTCCTTCACCGCCCACTGCCTGTAGGCGTTGAGCAGGTCATGCCCTCCTGACACAGCCGAGCCGCCATGTCCACGTAGTCGCCCACCACATGATGGGTCGGTATGTCCGAAGCCAGGACGGCGGCGTTGCGGTGGGATCTTCTCCAGTCTTCGCTCCTTCGAAGATGTCTCTCTCAGGCGGGTCGACAAGGCGGTTGAAGCCGTCAAAGCCGGCTGCGGGTACGCAACGCCTGGGCCAATATCGTCCGGGCCGAACGCCTGCCATGTCGGGGTACCCGAGCTGGTCCAGGAGGTACAGCAGGAGGGGCACCTGCGTAGACCCACAGAAAGCAGGGAGGGGGGGGTCCCCACTCAGGTCCCCACTCAGGAACCGTGCGCCATAAGACTGCCAGCCATTGTATGGAGTGCCTGGGCGCCTGTGGCGGGGCGGTTGCCGCGTTGGCGACAGGCGCCAGGGAGGTCAGCACAAGGATGGCCAGGCCCCAGCGCCAGCCGTTGCCAATGAGGCGATGGGGGCTTTTGTCAGACACCCCATCGACCCAAGTATAGTCGAGGGGTATCTCGTGGAGCTGCTCTTTCACAAAGGCGGGTGGGACGCACATCTCGTTCGAAGGGCTCGTGAGCATCGCTTCCCGCGTACTGGCGTTTATCCGCCAGCCAGCGCTCCTGGGCATCCTTGGGCGCGCGCCCCCGACTAGACTTGGGGGCTGTCGCCCGACAGGGCTGGAGTTGTTGCACATGTGCTTGCGCGCCGGCCACTTCGGAGTGGAACGCGTAGCCGCCCATGGAAGTCGGTGACCGCCTTCCTAGGCGTGCTGAGAAGGCGGTGGAAGCCGTCTTTCTTGCTGCACACCAGCGCTGATCCGTCGGAAGGGTCCGAGGTGAGGTCGCCCCATTTGACGGACAACCACCAAAGCCTGATCTAGCCAAAGTCGCCCGCGCAGGCGAACACAGGTTGGGAGCCGAGCATGCTGGTCACCGTCTTCGCATCCTCCGGCTTCATGAGCACGTTCTCGAATATGGAGGCGGTGTTTGACAGCTTGCAACCGAGGTCCCGCCCATCCCCTCCCCTCTCGCTCGTTGCTTTGCCTCGAGGCGGTCGTGGTCTGGGAGGTGCCATCAGAGGAGGTCAGTGGTCGGCATGCCTCCTGGTTGTTGTGGAGGAGGTTGAGCGGCGTTCGCCAGAGGTGGATTTGGTTTTGGCGCAGGTGCCTTTCACGGGCAAATTGGCTCAAACAGCCCACTCTGGGCGCCGAGTCGGGCTCAAGCCACAGCTCAAGCGGCCTGCGCCGCCAGACGGCCCCGCTGCCAGGAGCTCGTGGAGCAGGCAGCGCTCCACACCTGCCGGCCTTGCGGCAAGGAGAGCTCGGGGCGACATACCGAGAGCACTGGCCATGGATGCCAGATGCGTTTTGACGCGCCCCAAACGGCTCATGCCAGCTCACCCGGAACCAGGAGGCGGCCCTCCAGCAACACGCTGAGGTCATAGCGGCGGATTCGTCCTCATCAGACTACCTCCTCGAGCTGAGGGGCGTGCGCCTCAGGGGGCGTCACAAAAGACAACAGGGCTCGGTTAGGCCTTACGAGTGATCACACGGTTAGGGGTTCAAGTGACTGCTTCCGCCTTCCGCCAGCCACCATGGCGGACATCAATGACCTTACGGCATCTGTCGGGCGGCGTTCCTCGCCACGAGCGGCTTGTTCGGTGTGGTGGCGGGGGCGACCGCTGCCACAGGGGTCCGCCTCGATGCATGGCGTCGCCGCCTCCTCGGCTACGACGGCCCAGTTGCGTTTACGCCGGTCGGCCTTTTTGGAGGCTCGTCCCGAATCGCCCGCTCCAGGTCATGGACCTGGGAGAGCTCGTCATCGTCGTCCCTGAGCCGCCTTGGAGGCGGAAAGGACGAGGCGTCGTCCATGTACGAGCCAGGGCCGCCTGCTCATCGCGCAGGCGCTGCCACTCCTTGGCGAGTGTGGGTATGGCGCATCCGTAGTGGGGCGGAGGCATTCCGGAGCAGGAGTTGAGCGAGATGCATGGGGTCACGCGCCACCCAAACACGCGCCCCTCTTCGCGGGCGGCTGGTGT